ACATACACTGAAAAACCTCAAGTTTCCTGGAGAGTATCTAAGAACTTTGCCCAAGTGATTTGCAACAAACAAAGCAGAAAACCTTTGCTTTGTGCTACTTCTTAGGAAGCCCCTAGACATTTTGTATCCATAAATACATACCACAACTACAACAGTAGCGCAGGTTGTGAAACTTTACAACACAGGGTTGCTTCAGTATCATCAAAAGCAAGTTTACTGAATGCCTCCTCTTCATCCAAAGCCAAATAATTGCATTATTTTGCTCATGCAGCATAATTAAGCACCCAGTTCTATATTTTCACTATGACAGTGAAGTCAAAAGCAACTTGCTTGCAGCTAATTAAAAACAAACATACCACATTGAATCATTAATAACTTGGGTTTTTAACTTATGGTTTACCCAAAGATTCTTTCAAAGGGTATTCTTCCTCCCATCCCATGAGTGTGTTTCAATCTTGTACAAATGCAACACAATGTACCAAAAGGCAACAGTCTTTATAAGGACAACTTGAAAAGCTTTGTACCTAGTATCCTCTTGCACAACTTTATCAACAATCACACCTCTGAACAGAACATGGGTCTTGCAAAAAGCAGGTTTCACAACAGCACAATTGCTGTTCGGGGATAAGCTCTTAGCTCCACAATCCCGAAACCTGACATTTAAGCCCATATATAGGAATCTAAGACCAAAGAAGTGACAGAAGACGTGCAAGACTTTGCTCCTCAACTATACTTTCATGACCTATGCCTTAGGAGGCGAATTGGTTTCCTCCTTTCTGAGGACAATAAGGTGTCAACTTCAGGACGATCCCAGCACCTGCACATCTAAAAGCACAGTTCAGCAATACAGCTGCATTGATCTAATACCACAGATTTATTGCACAGGGCTCTCTCTTCTGCCAGCAGTCCCACGCTTCTACAGTTCATCAGATCCTTAAATGATACAATAAAACCTGTCCATCTCTCAAAAAATGTTTTCCTTGCAGTCTAGCAAATGAAATCAGCCCAGTGGCAGGTCCAAGGAGCACCCTGATTCAGAGCAGGACAAGCTGGCCAGCAACAAGGGGGTAGTTGGCATGGGAAGAAAGGAGCCAATACTGTTCCTCCCAACACCAGCTTTCCCACAGCAGAAAGCTATAACATCAAACCGTAACATAATCCCCTGGTGTATGTAGAATAATCATTAAACTTTCTGATGGTAACACAAAATCTGCTATAAACATTTGTGGAGAGGCTTGTTACAGCATACTTGACAGTCAGATCCTAGCAGCAAACTTAAAGATCTCTTCCCTTAGTGAAGTTTCTGCAGACAAAGTTCCAGTAAATACTTTGTACCATATAAATCAACTAAAGCTTCCTGTTGTAGATCTGAAGTTTGTTGTATTGGTCTGTCATAGTTTATCTTGTTATAATTGCATGGCATGAGACTGATGACATGTATCACAGTACACTTTGTACTTCATACTACGGGTACTCAAGTGAAATTTGCCTTAGATCTGATTTGCTATGAGATGCTTCTCAACCGTCCAATGCAATCAGATATCTACTATCCTAACCCATTTTCTTTGGGTTATATCTAGAACTTCAGATTAGTAATCAGAGCAGTACAATGCTTTGATGAAAATCTCTGCCTGAATGTGAATGGTTTTTGTTTCACATATCTGAAGAAGTTAACAGATTTGCAACTTTTTTGTAACCATTACTGTTATTAAACTGACTTTATTATGTTCAGTGCTAAAGCAACTACACCAAGCACACCTAAACATAGAGTTGTTTACCCAGGTCTCTTGCAAAATGCTAGATTATTCCTTGTTATTTTCTTAAAACTGTGGGTGGGTTTCCCCACTATCCCAATTAGAACTCTAGCAATATTCTCTGGAACTTACCGCAGCAGACTGCATTTCACGCTTAAAATACCATCTCAAGACCTGAACTGTGAGTATACCAAGTTTACATGTCATCCATATGTCATTCTAGTGCTTCAAAAGAGGTCCATTTCCATAAATTAAGGCTTAAGTAAAAAGAGATGATAATGAATAATTATTTAAAGTAAAAAATGTAATTACATTGTGCATTTATATGTGCCATTTCAGTTCATAAATGTTACGCTTTGGTCCTAGAGCACCACTTGTGCACGGGGATGCCTAAACACATACAGTAAAGTGACAGTAAGACAAAGATTTTTAGTGAAAAATGCTCTTAAGAATGAAATTACTGGACAGAAAGAATGCACAAATTCAGGTATTCTACTCAGTCTTGCTTCAATATAATTCACAGTTTAGAATGAAACCTAAAAGCTATGAAATAAATACCACTGCTTTTTCTTGTGAATGTGTTCTCTAACAAGAACCTTAACTAAATGTAGCCTGAGAATTAAAGTTTCCAGCATTATTACTAAACTATCCCGCATTTGACCCCACTCAGCCTTGAAGATATAGAAGAGTATTACCTAGTGCAAGAAAAAAGTGTTTTTTTAGAGGGGGGGGACAAGTACCAAACCCCAGCTGTTACAGCCAAATTATCACTGCATTTCCAGAAATGGAGTTCTAGAAAAAAAGCACTACTAGCCCTCCATCAAGTCCTATGTTACTTTCAGTATACATTACTTCTTGCAACAAACTAATCTCAGAAATTAAGCTTCCAGTCAAGGAAAACAAAACCCAGCTGAATTACCACAAAGTAGGTAAGTTTATTTACCAGTTGCAGCTATCTAAACATGTGATTCTGTTGCCAATCATACTGCAGACAGCTTTCCAGTTTCCTGGTCCTTCCTGCACAGGTCTACTCCATCCTTCACAGCGACTTTAGCATTTAATCATCTGTTACACTTCAATCACTAAAACCAGCAGAAAACTGTATTACCTTTTACCTGAGATTTTGGTAAGACTACTGACTAAAATCAACAGGTTTTGATAAGCACTAAAGCAAGTGTAGGTAGCAACAGCTTCCTTATTTTCGTGGTGAGGCTTCTCTCTACCAGTTCTCTACTGCTGGCTGTTCCCATGCCTTCTCCTGAACTAGCTCTGGAACTCATCAAGCGCTGTGCTTGAATGTATTTCTCTCTCTAGAGTAACAGAAAACTGTTCTTGTTTCCTACCAGGAATTAAGTTACGCTGACTTAAGAGGGGCTGCCAGATCTGTAACAAGGCACAAGCAAGACATGACAGAAGTACTGTTTCCCTTTGGTTACACTAGGTTATGTCAGCTCATAAAACTCAGCGTGTATGCTTATTGCTTTTTTATTCTCAAACATTATGCAAAGATTTGTTTATAGCATCATGTGGACATTTAATGAGAGATTAATTCCAAGCTCAGTCACTAGCACTAATTAAAGCTACATGGTGATACTTTTTTTTTCAGTGAATAATGCTGAAAAGTGTGTTCCCATATTCAGAGCTAATGGGAACACCAGCTGCTATCTGAATAGTTTGTAAGGTAACACTTCTACACACCAGAAGCATTATATTCCCAACCACCCACACTGGATCCTCACTAGGTTTTGCAAGCGCTACAAAAATACAGCAAACTTTCATCTCCTTGGAAGAAACAGGTCTAAACTTCTACTTAGCTACTCTTTTATATTTAGCAGCTGTAATTATAATCACAGCAAGTCACTTGACATAAGTGAAAGCATCTCAACCCATTCCCAGCTTCCTCTTTTAAGACTTTGAAATTGGACACGGTAGAAAGTGAAAACCTAATCTGAGCAAGGCTCAAAAGTCATAAAACCTTCCTCTCATTCACAGGCAATCTGAGAACCTGATGACAATGAAATAACCCATGATGTTAAAAAAAGTTCGCACAAACCTTCATGTTACTGTAACAGCACATTTGCTGCATGAAATACAACAAATACCAAACTCTTTGACACAGCTATCATTTGCACAAGATGCTTCCTTCTTGGGACATGTGATTCAGGAAAAAATTACGGAAGCAATAAGCTTGCCTATCTAACAGAACCCTTGTGATTTGAAACCAAGGTGCTCTGCAAAACAGGCACTGAAATGTTGTACATTTCACTGCGTTGGTACATTGTGCAAACGTACATTGTACATTTCAGCGTACAATTATGACATGTTTGCTTATGTACTCAGGACTGAGCTTTTTGCATTTCTATGCTCTGTATTTCATGCTTTGCCTAGAAAAAGGTGTACTGAACGACCGTTGGGGTCCCTTCCAACCTGGTGTTCAGTGACTCTATGATCCAACAGGTATGAGACCACAACAGAAAGGATCCCAAAAGTGTAGCTGTTGTGCACTGCAACTGAAGAGAAAGCTCAGCTCTCCCAAAACTAATATTATAAACAAAGCAAACAAACAAACAAAAATAAATAAATAGAAGGATTGTGTTTCCAAACTTCCTGCCGGGCATCAACCACAGATTAGTGTGGTCAAAACGGGGACAGGCAAGCACACAGGTGACCTTCCCACCCTAAGTGCATAATGAGAGACGGAACTATGGCAAAGGAATGAAGACACTCCTGATAACAGACCCTGCGGGGCACGAGGGTCACTGTAAGCTGCCCGGATTCCAGCTCTACGGTTACCCCAGTCAACAACTACCCATCCCCGAGGGTCTGCCCCTCTGCGACCGCCCTCACACCGCATAGCCGGTCCCTCGGCAGCAGCCTCCGCGGGGGCACAGCGCCCTTCGCTCTCCACAGGGAGCAGGGCACTCCGCTTTCACACAGGCCCAGCAAGACTTCGCTGCGGAAGGCACGGGCCGCCCTCACAGACCCACCAGGGCTCCCGCGGCCTCTGACCCTGAGCTAACCCTGCCGTGCACACGTGGTCAGAGGACACCGCACCAGACCGGGCCGGGCCTCAACGCTCCCACCGGCAGGGTCAGGGTTCCTAAGTATGCACCATCCGCTGCAGGCGCGCACGGCGGCCTAGCCAGCAGCGCCCTTGGGCACGAGGGCCGCCACCTCGGCCGGCCCCACCGCCACCTCCGCAGCCCGCCGGCGGTGGCCGTGCAGCCCCGCGGCGCAGGGTCTCACCTGGCGGGAGCGGGCGGGCGGAGGAGGGGCAGCAGACGTGGACAGAGCGCCCGCAGGCGCCCGGCGGAGCTCAGCAGCGCAGCCATGACCGCCGCGCGCCGGACGCGAAGGAACACGTGAGCGGGGCACGGCGCTACTCCGCATGCGCACCAAAGGGCAAAGAGGGGCGAGAGGCACCGGGGCTCCGCCTCCGCCGGAACATGTGATGGGAGGAACCATTTGCCTCAAAGCGGGGGGGGTCGCCCTCCCTGCTCTCGGAATGGGTCTGCTCAGGCATAGGCATCGTTCTTAGCGTCCACCCTGGGCTGCTGATGGGACACTCCATGCGAGGCTGGTGGCGCAGCCAATCGGGAGTCACTGCGGCGGAAGGCAGCGTGGGTGGTGCTGCTAGCTGAAGGGGAAGAGCGCGGGCTCGCTCCCAGAGGCGGAAGGGATCAGTAGGAAATACCGCTCTCCCCAGCAGGTTCGTCGGGAAGCTTGACACCGCCTACAGCGCAATTCCGCCCGTCCTTGCCCATGGGAGGCAGTCACTACTGCGACCGCCGTTAGTGGCCGTTGGCCGCTGCTGTGGCATGCCGCTGCTGTGGCATCCCGCTGCACCGCCCGCTTCCATGGGGGCTCCCCGCTGTTCTAACGTAGGTTGTGCTGGGGACGATAGGCGGTCCCCGGCGGTTCTCCTTCCCGCAGGGCTGGAGGCAGGACAGAGCTGCCGCTCGCGTTCTGCGGGTTGTTTTGGGACACCGCTGGAAATGGCAGGTGTAAAAACCTAAGGTTTTCAGCGTGTCCGTAATCGGAAAACCTCCGCCAAAGATCGGGCGCTGGTTTGAAACTTCACCACCTCCACGTCCTCGTCCTAGGAGCGAGATGCGAGTGAGAGGCGGAGGAAAGAACACTTCAGTGGGGAATCTGCCTGAGCGTGGCTGTATCTGCTGGTGTTTCATTTTAGCTTGCAGGTTAAGCTGGTTCCTATGACATAAAACATTATTTAGAGTTACTTATAAGTTAAGTACGTTTTCATAAAGAAAAAAAAGGCTTCTTTTTGGCGATAAATTCAAATAGTTACTCCAGGGAGCAGTTTGATTTTTATCAAGTCGGCTACAATCATCTGTTTCTGATTATGCTTTCCTTGTAAAGACTTGCACAGTCTCCATCAAGGTGTGAAGGGCCCAGTTCTTTAAAGTTATCGACACCCATTTTTGTTTTTAAGTCCTGGATTTTCAACATTTCTCATTGTCAAGCCTTAAGGCAGGAGTTACAGCCTTACAGTTAAACTAAGGCAGTATTTGTAATGTTACTGCTTACCACAGCTTCTGCTGCATCGCAGTGTTATGGTATTTCATGGAATATGGAGTTCAGGCTTTGTGAGGAAGCCCAAGATGAAATTTGTTAACACAAAGTACAACCCGGAAGCATACATTCTAATGATGAGACTAGCTTAGGTCTGTGTGTATCAAAATTGATGATGGAGTAGAGCCCCTGGGAGCTCACTGTAAGGACACAATACGAAAGTGCCTGCAGTGCTTACAGTAAGGACCAGAAGTGATAAATGACTGGAAGAGTAAGAGAAAATAATGAGATGATGTTGGTCAGTGTAATGAATAGTTGGTCCTTGTTGCTGAGACTTCATTGCTGTTGAATCATTAAAGAGCAGCTTAAGAAGAATGATGGCACAGATGCTGACCAGGAATTCCTCCAAAGGACAAATTGCAAAGGTGTTTGACAATCCAGCTGCTGGATAACAGGATCTGAAATGACAGGCTGCTCAGAGAGGAGCTGTCTTCGCTGCCGAGTGAGAGGTCATAGACGTGATTCTGTGTTAGAGGTGAAGACAGCTATTTGCTTGATGTAGAAAGGGAAGGAGGTCCTGAGGAATTAATTCAAAATGTGACACAGCTGAAGCAGTAGGCTTTGGAAATCATATTTGCTGAAGTTCTCTGAATGGGTGAGAGGGTCTAGATCACATCAAGATCTGAAAAAGAGAAAATCTTAATCAGTAAATTGAGACCTAGTGTTTAAAATCTAGGTGTGAGTTTTTGTTCTCGACGAAGAAGATGAGTTGTGCATTAGATATGTTATTCATGGCAAAAAGCAATGGGTGGTTGTATGTGTGAATCAAGAGAAAGTGCTTTATGCTAGTGTCCCCAGTAGTAGTTGAGAAACAGAAGTTATTAGGTGAAGAGGAAGTGTTTTATTTTAGCCACAAGAAGCTTGAGTCGTACATAAAATGTGAGTGAGGCATTGGGATTTCAGATGGGACGAAAAGGTTGGGATAGAGCTGTAGGCCCTTAGTACAGTCACTATGCCATTGTTGTAGAAAATACAAATCCAGAGGTAAAAGATACAGATCCAGGGATACAGAAAATGCCAGAGGCACAAACATACCCAAAGAGGGGGTTGAAGATGCTCATCCTAGTAGGATGATTGCAAAAGATACACTAGAGAAAGAGTTGTAGAAAGAAAAGCTGTGGTGAGCTGCATAAGGGACAATTGGAAAGTCAGATGTGAATGAGTCCAGGCTAAGAGAGATGGGAAGCAAAGATGTGTGGCAGACAAGGGGCTGGAAAAGGGAATCAGTGTAGGGAATCTAGTTTGCTGGTCTCGCTACCAAAAGAAGGAATTAAGAGAAAGCCCCATACAATCAAAAGAAAGCCTCTGCTGACTTTTTGGTTTGTCCTCTCTCTTAACAGACCACGTCTTCCAAGACTTTTAGCCTGATTGCCTGGCATAGTTTTAGTAGTTCGCATCAGGCAGTTTGACGCTGTTGCCGGTAGGCAGTTTGATGATGGTCATGCTATGCTGGAGAGTGGGAGAATTTAAAAGGACAGACTCTGGCTAAACTCTTCCAAATCAGCTTGAAAACCAAAGAACGGTTCTGAGAGTCCTGATGATTTTTAGATAAAGCATTTTCAGTTCTAATGTAATAATGTAAAACAATTCCTTTCCAAAGGCCAATGGTGCCTTAATCCCTACAGAATGCTAAATTTATTCCTATTGTATGTATCTGTTAATTAAAATGTTTTACTCAGAATCTCTGATGAGTTCTGTCAGAGCTGTATTGCACTGTAAAATAATTATTTCCACTGAAGGTGTAAAACAATTCAGCTCCTCAGCTATGTTAGTTTTGCAAGGTTAGTAGAAATTTTAGTAAGTAGTAGAGCCTTTATTTTTATAACAAAGTCAGCAGATCTTATCCTGGCTATCTATGGGGAGTAGATCTGATGAGTAAGAAGGTGCTTTTTTATATAGTTACTTTTCATAGGATCGCACTTTGAAAATGGTTGTGACATAACTGGGTCACATCTGAGATTTTTCTATAAGCTGCATAAAATAAGAAGTTGAGGTAGCTGCTTTTGTCAGAAGGTATATTGTTAGAGCTGTGGTGAATCATATAGCAGAGAAATTTGCATATTGTACTGCTACTGAAAACTGCAAGACAGTCTTAAATTTGTAACTCATTAATAGTCCTTCAATACCTTAAATCTGTTGCATTTAAATAATAACAAATTAAGAATTAAGATACATATAATAAATATCACATACTGTGTTTTTTCTGTCATTGCCTTTGTTTTATGTGTTTAATTGTGGACATGCTCTACTACAAAGAATATCATGTCCCAGGGTTTGGCTGCGCTGTGTATTGTAGAGGATAAAATAGTAAGACAAGATTTAGGAATGGCAAAACTGTGTTTTGGCTGCCTGTATCTCCTGTATGTAATAAATCATTTTCAGGTTTTGATGCATGCTTCAACTTTTGGTTGAAACAAGAATGGAATGATTCAGAGGTCATGCAGATTGATTGCTAACTCAACTGGGAAATTCTAATGAAACGTGATTCCTAAGCTTATACTTTAGATAAGAAATGGTACGCTTTAGGTACAAATCCTTATGCTTTCTTATATCAGTGGGCACACTGGCTGAGTCTTTCTGCCAGATCTCCTCCTATCCCAAACAATGAAAAAGTTTCATAATTCTGGATACAACACAGATCAACTGAGAGCATCTGAAGTCTAGGCTTCTGCTTTAATTTAAAGTATTTGAGATTTTCTTACAAATGTTCTGACTCATCTTCATAGTTACTGAGTAGTTTTTTAGGAATGAGGCAGTTAGTATATGTGATCTAGAAGGGTTAGTGCAAAGCCCAATTAGAGTTTGTAAAACCTGATCCACTGACATTAAAACAGATGTTAAATCCTTTGGTGTATGCATACGGTACTTCACACATGATGTCTCACTTGATATACATGCAAGGGACAGATACAGCATGTTACTGTATATTTGTACGGGTCTTTTATCTGGTTAACAATTTTATTTCATCCAAATATATGGGTGTCTAAAATGGTAGTTGGATGAAACTTTACAAACAGTAATCAAATTAGCTGTTAGTGTGTTAAGAACTCTCATTTTGTGTTTCTTTCTCTTCTCTCTGAGTCAGTCCACCACAAACCTAACTGACCAAGGAGACAGAAATTCCCGGAGAAGTGTAAACCAACATGGTGTAAACCAGGCTGGGGGGTTGGAACCTGATGATCTTAAGGTCCTTTTGAACCCCAACTATTCAATGATACTATGATTTTGAAAGGCAGAGAGCAAGGATCTCTTAGAACAGATCAGTCACCGATGGAAAAAGTTTTTCATTTTCTTGGCAGCTGATCTGCTTTGGGAGATTTCCCTTCTCTTGCTCATTTTTCTGCATCCCTGATGGACATTTCTGCCCCACTGGTTAAGTCAGGTGCTAAATCACATGTTGGTTTGGCTGGGCGTAGTATTTCCAGTTGTGAAGTCAGGGCAGAAACAATTATTACTTTACCCTTTTTTTTTTTAAGTGCAAGTACTGGGTGTGTTATAAGCCAAGTGTCAGTCACGTAGAGAATTTGTGATGTTTCCCTGGCTTTGTTTTCTGAAAGCTTTTCCTCCTCAGCTCCAGAGCTGCTGAATTTAAGAAAACCCTAATAGATACACTTAGCATAAGGAGGGTTCAGTGGTGAACATTTCCACGTTGCTTTAGGCCCTTGAATGGGTTTTAGATATATTTTCATGTTGTGTCATGAAAAAAACATTTTTTTATCAAGAAGTGCTCATTTATAGTAAACCAT